CCCCAAAACCCCAAAACCCCAAAACCCCAAAACCCCTGAATAGATTAGGAATGTTGAGAAGGTTGAGTTTATAAATTAGGAAATGAATGAGTGATTCATGAGAGGATCTATTGATTTCTTTTTGGCGTAAATGTTTCTGCTTGATTTACCTCTTGTATGGCCTCGTGTTTTCCTTTTGGGAGAATGTACTGCAGGAAGTACTAATTTTCTGAATTTTATAGATTTTGATGCTCCATATTGGACGATCGAGCGACGTTTGTGTTTATTACGAGAAGGCTTTTTGTCTGGTGCGTTATTTCTTAATCTCTATTAATAAATAGCTTATATTACCTTAAATATGTGGGGTTGTAGTGTTAGCGAAAGACTAAGATTTTTAGCTTCATTATATCCATTTTGTCATCTCATCTGATCGAAAAATAGGGTATTTCATCATTCCTTCCCAATATGCTTTTGCTTAGCAAGTAACTTTAATTGAGTAATCTTTTTCTCAAGGGAAGTCTTAAGTTTGTAGGCTAAAATTTTGATCCTTTGAGTAAGAGGGTCATGGTCTTGATCACCTCCTTTAAGATTAGTGTTCATACGCCTATTTCTGATCAATTCTTGTTTCATTTGCTTTACAAGTTTTTGGATCCGGCTTATTCCAGGTATTGAAAGATACTGAACTAATTCTTTGCCTGAAATTTCATTGAGCTTCTTCTCCCGGATATTTTCTCAGATAGATATCAGATTGGCATAATTATTCTTATAGAATGTTCTAGCTTTTTCTGAAAAATAAGTGTTCTTGTTGCTTTCTACACCCTGAGATATCCTTTTATTTATAAAAAGATCTTTGGAAATATCCGTTTTGAAAATTTTGTTTCCTTCAAAGTAAAAACCTTGCTTACCTTTGAAGTTGTTCTGTCTGTTTTGAGAATTCTTAAGGGTGATACTTTGGCTGGCTTTGTAGGACTCCTTCTCTCCTTGAGTCTCAGGAGAAACTTCCTCTGATTTCTTTTGTTGTTTAGCTATCTTTCCAGGGTAAAATTTAGAAATTATGCTCAATGGTTTAGTTCTCGAACCTGCTTTATTTCTGCTCAAACTCCTAAATTGTTAAACTTGCTAGCGATTTACATGATAGTGTCACGGCTTTGCTCTGAGAAGTTTGGCTTATTTTGAACACCTTTGTCTGTATCAAGCTCAACACTGCTAATGCTAATCTAGAGTTTAGAATATATTTACCTTTGGATTTTTGCAAGATTCTTTACCATTAGTTTCTGTGTCTGATTCTTTTATTTCTACAGAGTACATTTTAGAGATAGAGGAGGACTCCCAATATTTAATGGCAATTTTAGAATTTTCCAAGAAGAATCAGAACATACTTGACAATCAAATATGATCCATGCGATTAGCGTTTCTTTTCTTCTGATTGTGGATAATTTCTTCTATAATATAAAACTTGGAGAAATACCAAATTTCATGCTGAGAGCTTTCTTACGAGGTTGCTAAATGGTTAGAGGAACGCTTTACGATATCATTAAAATCAAATCCAAATTCATCATCAACAGAACACTTCCGAGGAGCCTTCTTCTTAGGTACAGGAGATAGTGCAAATTGCTTCCTAAAATTTGTCAATTTGATCCTGGCTGATGATTTCTCTATTTTAAGGTTATTTTAAGATCTGCAAAATCTTGGAAATGCAAAAGCCAAGACTCTAAATAGAGATTCTCAAGAGGCTTACTCTTTACATCTATGGATAAATTACATGAAATAGCTTACTCTTTACTACCTCGTCAGGGGAATCCTGGTCTTTTGCACTATCTTTGCTCTGCCTCAATCGGCTAAAATAAAGTTATTCTGGATGGTAACTTTTGAAGCACGTGATTCTTTCCAACTAAACTCGAATAGATTACCTTATAACCATATCAAGTCCTTCAATAATACTAAGCCTGCGAGGCTCCATTTCGCTCTGATTAGCTTTGGCACTTAACTATAAATAGTCAGGTCAAAATACCTTTTCTTGTTCAGACATTAGGGATACTTGGATAAGTCGTTTCAATTATTTAATCCTTTATGGGGTTTTGGGGTTTTGGGGTTTTGGGG